CTTCTTTCTTTCCAAATTGCTCCATGAGCATGAACTATGCCAAAGGCATATTTGGAGTCAGTCCAGGTGTTAATTTGTTTTCCTTCTGCCAATCCTAAAGCCTGAATGAGAGCTATCAGTTCTGCTTTCTGGGCTGAGGTTCCTGCGGGCAAAGGATTTGATTTGATTACCTCAGTAGTGGTGGTCGCAGCATACCCAGCCATCTTCACACCTTGTCTTATGAAACTGCTGCCATTGGTAAACCAGTCTTCTGCATCCAGGGGTGGTTCTTCTTTAAGGTCCAGGCAGCAGGAGCACACTGCTTCAATGGTTTCCAGGCAGTCGTGCCCGACAGGTGCAGCCAAGATTCTTCCTTCTAGGAATGAAGCTGGGTTAACAATGTTAGTCACCTGAATGATTATGTCATCTGATTCAGCCAGGATTACTCGATGTTTCAGAAATAGGGAGGGTGACAGCCAATGATTTCCTTTCTGTTCCAGTACTGCTGACACTGTGTGGGACACTAACACAGTCATTTTCTGTCCCATTGTAAATTTCCTGGTTTCTTCTATATTTATGATCATTGTTGCTCCTGCCCTTAGGCAGGTGGGCCATCCTTTGCTTACTTCGTCCAATTGCTTGGAGAAGTAGGCTACTGTTCTTTTGTATGGTCCTAGTTGCTGAGCCAGGACCCCCAGAGCCATTCCTTGTCGTTCATGCAAGAACAACCAAAAGGGCTTCGTTACGTCAGGCAATCCCAATGCCAGAGTCCTTATGGGTTCTCATCTCAGCTGTTTGAAGGCTCCACTTGCTTCAGGGGTTCAGACCAGGTTGCCCTTAGTTATTTTCTGCAGGTCATATAAAGGCTTTGCAATTAGCCCATACTGATATATCTATAAACAACACCAACCTGTCATTCCTAGAAAGGCTCAAAGGTTTCTCACCATCTGTGGTTTCGGTGTCTGGCAGATGGTTTCCTTTCTTGTTGTCCCCAGAGATCATTGTCCTCTCGATACTTCATATTGCAGGTACATGACCAGCTGAGCTTTCTGTTGAGAGACTCGATAACCATTTAAGTCCAAAAAGTTTGAGGTTTACTGTCCATCGGACACATTCTTCTTGTTTTTCAGTAACAATCAATAGATCATCCACATATTATAAAAGTACACCCTCTCCCAGTGGTGACTGCCATTGTTCCAATTCTTTAGCTAATTGATTCCCAAAAATTGTGGGAAAATTTTCGAACCCTTAAGGTAACACTGTCCAAATGAGTTGAGTTTTCCTTCCTGTGGTGGGATTTTCCCACTTGAAGGCAAATATCCTTTGACTTTCCTGTGTTAAGGGAAAGCAGAAAAAGGCATCTCTTAAGTCTAATACTGTGAACCAAGTTAGACTTTCTTTTAATATTGTTAATAGGGTGCCTCTTCCTCCTGTTCTGAGGGCCCTGCTTCCTCTTTATCCCTCACTCAGTGAACTGATTTTGTCTTGGATTTCTTCTTCTGTATAGGGGCAACCGCTACTGGCACAGGTTGTTCCTCTGGTTCATCTGCAGTTTGAGTGGGTATGGTACCTGTTGGTCTGCTTTCCTCCTCCTCCCCCTGAGGGTGCTGTCTAGTGATGAGCAGTGTCCAATAAATAGTAGCCAGGGCCCAGCACATTGCATAACTTTGTGCCTCTCTGGAACTGCCACAGCATTTTTTCATCACATATTTTATCCCTTTAACAGGGTCCTGTATTTGTTCAGGGGTGAACTTTCAAACCATTGGAAAACAATAATCCTCCAAATACTGGCCCATGTCCTCCCACATTCCATGCCACTCATGACTATCCATCCTCAGGGCAGATCTCTGTATAACATCCCTAGAAATCTCTGTCCTGACTCTAAACATGGTGTGGATCATGCTGAGGAGATCTGTCAGACTTAGCAACAAGAACATGCTTTTTTTAACATCCAAAAGGAATTCAAAATTCTCAAAAGCTGTTTTAACAGGTATGAAGGAGGAAAAGGGAGTGAAAAGCTGAGAAAGATCATCCTCCCCTGTTCCCCCCACAGACTGGGTACGATTATTAATGGATTCCCAAAGGTACTGCCTGAGGTAAGGGTAGGAGAGCAACACTGAATACACATCCTAAATGACCCTCATTGCCCTTGATGTTATCATGTCATAAACTGATATCCCACAATGCATCAACAAAGCAATCCTGATCCCTCTCCCTACTCTGAAAAAGAACACTGCAAGGAGCACATACAGGAGCATATACAGGATTGGGTACCACACCCACATGAACAGATCAATCACAGAGAATCACAGAATCAACTCGGTTTGAAAAGACCTCTGAGATCATCGAGTCCAACCTTTGACCTAACATTACCTTGTCTATTAGACCATAGCACTAAGTGCCACATTCAGTCTCTTCCTAAATACCTCTAGGGATGGTGACTCCACCACCTCCCTGGGCAGCCCATTCCGTAGCCCAATCACTCTCTCTGTGAAGAATTTCTTCCTAATGTCTAACCGAAACCTCTGCTGGTGCAACTTCAGACTGTGCCCTCTTGTCCTACTGCTAGTTGCCTGGGAGAAGAGACAGATACCCACCAGTTACAACCTCCCTTCAGGTAGTTGTAGAGAGTGATAAGGTGTCCCCTTGAGCCTTCTCTTCTCCAGGCTAAGCAATCCCAGCTCCCTTAGCTTCTCCTCATAAAACTTGTGCTCCAGTCCCTTCACCAGCCTCGTTGCTCTTCTCTGGACATGTTCCAGCATATCAATATCCTTCCTAAATTGAGGGGCCCAGAACTGGACACAGTACTTGAGGTGTGGTCTAACAAGTGCTGAGTACAGGGGAAGAATCACTTCCATGGTCCTGCTGGCCACACTATTCCTGATACAGGGCAGGATGCCATTGGCCTTCTTGGCCACCTGGGCACACTGCTGGCTCATGTTCAGCTTCCTGTCAATCAGAACCAAGCAATATTGTGACCAGTGGCTCCATACCTAATACAGAAAAATGCATAGATCAAATTTGTTTCAAACACACTCTAGGCAGATCTGTTGTTATCTCAACCCTTCATGCCCCAAGTTGAGTGCTAAATAAGGCTGTCGTGGTTTAGGAATGGTACTCCTCAGTTTAGTTCCCCCACCAAGACTCTCCCAAAGCAGACACTGCTTGCTCCCCCTCCCCACCCTGACTGAAAGCACAAAAGGTAAAGATCACAGGTTGAGATAAGAACAATTTACTGGAAACAGCAATGAGGTAAGAAAAGGAACAGTAACAGCAACAATATTAATAACAAGAGGTATAAGACAAAGAAATTATTTACATGGAAAATCGCGAAAAAACTGACTGGATCTTCCCAACCATGTTTTCTCCCGACTGGAAAAAGGACACCCTTCTCCTCCAAATCCAGAGACAGTCCCTTTCCCCCACCCCTGGCAATGACATGAGAGGGTATCAAATAACATTAAGGTCTGGCCACTCCCCTCTCCCGGCTTCTGTAAAAAATTAACCCTGTCCTGGCCGAAACTAGGACACATGTTATTAAACAGTGTCAAAATTAATGGAGTTATTCTAGATTTTCACTTTTGTGATCCAAGTGTTTTAAATAAAAATAATAACAAGATTGATTTTAACCATAACACTTTCATTCTGTCTCTTTCTTTAGCCTTGAATTTATATTATTTTATTTATAAAACTATATATAAAGCATTATAATGTATCATATATTGCATAATATGATATAATGTGTATTTTTATATATATTTGTCATAGTTTAACCCCAGCTGGCAGTTAAGCCCCATACACCAGCTTGCTTACTGCCCTCACAGTGAGATGGGCAAGAGACTCAGAGGGGTAAAAGTGAGAAAACTCGTGGGTTGAGACAGACAGTTTAATAGGAAAAGCAAAAGCCACACATACAAGCAAAGTAAAATAAAGAATTAGTTCACTGCTTCCCATGGGCAGGCAGGTGTTCAGTCATAGCCAAGAAAGCAGGGCTCCATCATGAGTAATGGTGACTTGAGAAGACAAACACCATCACTCCACATCCTCCCCTTCCTTCTTCCCTCAGCTTTATATGCTGAGCATGACATCATACAGTATGGAATATCCCTTTGCTCAGTTGGGGTCAGTTGTTCTGGCTGTGTCTCCTTCCAACTCCTTGTGTACCCACAGCCTACTCATTGGTGGTGTGATGTGAGAAGCAGAAAAGGCCTTGACTCCGTGTAAGCACTGTTCAGCAATCGCTAAAACATCGCTGTATTATCAACACTGTTTTCAGCACAAATCCAAAACACAGCCCCATACTAGCCACTGTGAAGAAAATTAACTCTACCCCAGCCAAAACCAGAACAATAGAGCATATATAAATATATTTGCCTCACAAATACAAAACTTGCAACTGTTTGCATTTTTGATGCAATAAATAATTTCTTAGTATTCTGGAAAACTGTCCTGCAGTCTGGGAGTCAAGAGTCAGTCTGCAGAAAGAACTGTGGTGTTGTGGAATACATCCTGTGTAAGGAGGGGATGAGGAAGGCAGATGCTCCAGGAGGATGCTAACCTTCTCTGGGTTGCAGTTATTGTCTTCTTGTTAAGAGGATGTGCTGTTTCCCTTAGATATTTGGCTGGCTCTTCTGAATGGGCAGGGGCAGCAGGGAGACTCATGAGCCAATGGCAGAGATAGTGGTACCTCTGGCAGCATTAGCTTCATAGCCCTCATCCCCTCTAAATAAAAGCTTGTACTGTCCTATAAAGGGTAGAGGAGGGGTGGGGGAACCTCAGGGTACTTTCCTCCTTTAGGCTGCGAGGAAGGGACCTTTCCTCATAAGCTTTGCATTTAAAAAAAATGCAGTAGAAAACTAATTGTGCTCACAGGTTCCTTTAGCTTCTAGGATGGGTACTCAACAGTGCAGAAGCGAATGAAAAAGATTTTATCTCATCAGGAAGCATTATGTACCGATAATAATTGTTATTAGCAAATTAATTTACATGCATCTTCTTGTGGTTTTGTTTTACAACCCTAGATTGGTGAATTATTGAGCACCACACACCCTGCCAACAAAGCCAGCTTAACTCTTTTCTGCCCTGAGGAAGGAGAATGGAAAAATTCCAACCTTGACAGACACAACCTTCAAGACTTTATTAACATTAAGCTCAACTCAGCTTCCATATTGCCCAAAATGGAAGGACTCTCTGAATTCACTGAGTATCTATCAGAATCAGTAGAAGTGCCATCACCCTTTGACATTTTGGAACCTCCAACTTCAGGAGGCTTCTTGAAACTCTCCAAACCCTGCTGTTATATTTTCCCTGGTGGAAGAGGGGACTCTGCGTTGTTTGCAGTGAATGGATTCAACATGCTTATCAATGGAGGATCTGAAAGAAAATCTTGCTTTTGGAAACTTATCCGGCACTTGGACAGAGTAGATTCCATTCTACTCACTCACATTGGAGATGATAACCTGCCAGGAGTCAATAGCATGCTTCAACGAAAGATAGCTGAGTTAGAAGAGGAACAGTCCCAAGGGTCTACTACCAACAGTGACTGGATGAAAAATCTGATCTCACCGGATTTAGGAGTCGTATTCCTTAATATACCTGAGAACCTGAAGAACCTGAATCCTGACTTTAGAGTAAAAAGGAGTGTAGAAGAAGCTTGGTTTACTCTCCAGTATTTAAATAAATTGTCTATGAAACCAGAACCTCTTTTCAGAAATGTAGGGAATACCACTGACCCCATCATTTTATTTCAGAAAATGGGAGTTGGCAAACTTGAGATGTATGTGCTTAATCCTGTTAAAAATAGCAAAGAGGTGCAATATTTTATGCAGCAGTGGAGTGGTACTAGCAAAGATGAAGCTGAATTCCTGCTACCAAATGGCCAAGAACTAGACATTCCATTATCCTATTTCACCTCTGTCTCATCCCTGATTGTGTGGCAACCAGCTAATCCTGTAGAAAAAATAATCCGAGTTCTGTTTCCTGGAAACAGCACCCAATATAATATTCTAGAAGGACTGGAAAAACTCAAACACTTAGACTTTCTTAAACAACCAATGGTTACACAAAAAGACCTAACTGGAAACATTGCTAGTCCAGCTGTGAAACAAGCAAAATTGAAACAGCGAACAGACAGCAAGGAGAGTCTGAAGCCTGCTGCAAAGACACCAAGCAAGTCTGTCAGAAAGGAATCTAAAGAAGAAATACTGGAGCCTGCAAAACCTAGTCCAGCACCGGAAAAACTTCAGAAATTGGAAAGAAAAGAAAAAGTTCCAGTTAAAAAAGACAAACCAGCAAAAGTGGAGACCAAACCTATAGTGGCAGAAAAAGATGTAACAAGTAAAGAAGAGCAGTTAGTAAAATATGAAACTCCTGAAAAACAAGCTACAGATGTAAAACCAAAAGTGGTACAGGACAAGCCAGTGAAAAAGGAAGTCAAAGCAAAACCTGAAGAAAAGAAAGAGGAAAAAGAAAAACCAAAGAAAGAGGTTTCTAAAAAAGAGGAGAAAACATCCATCAAAAAAGAGGAAAAACACAAAAAAGAAGAGATCAAGCAAGAAGTTAAAAAAGAGGTGAAAAAGAAAGAGAAGAAGGAAACTAAGAAGGAAGTAAAGAAAGAAGCTCCACCAAAGGAAATTAAAAAAGAAGGTAAAAAAGAAGAGAAGGAAATTAAGAAGGAAGAAAAAGGAATCAGAAAAGACATCAAGAAGGTTCCTAAAGAAACAAAGAAGACATCTGCTCCTTTGACTGAAGTCAAAAAGCCAGCAGCAAAGCCTAAACCACAAAAGAAGGAGGAACCTGCTAAAAAAGAAGCAATATCTGCTGGAAAGCCAAAGGAAAAAGTTAAAATTAAGACTGTGAAGAAGGAGATTGAAGTCAGTGGAGCTCAAGCTGCCCTTGCAGCAGTTGGAACCACTACCACCACTGTAGCAGCTGCAGAAATTACAGCTAGTGAAAAAGAACTTCAAGTTGAGAGATCCCTTATGTCTTCACCAGAGGACTTAACAAAGGATTTTGAGGAATTAAAAGCTGAAGAAACAAAAGCAATAAAAGAAATAAAACCTCGAGTTGCACTTATAGAAGATGAACTGAAACTCACTGGCACAGAACAAAAGGACGCCTTTGAAGTCCAAAAAGAAAAATTAGATAATGAAGGACCTGCTGAGTCCTCTGATGAAGGCGTAACTACCACAGAGGCTGAGGGTGAGTGTGGACAAACACCTGAAGAATTGGAATCTGTGGAAAAGCACAGGGTTGATGACCATGAAAAGTTTGAAGATGAGGGAACTGTCTTGGAAGAATCATATGAAGGAGGATATTATGAGGAAAAGGCAGAGACAGAAGAAGCTGAAGAACAAGGTGAAGATGAGAAGGTAAAGACACAACCGGTCACCACAAAACCATATATGAAGAAAGCAAGAAAAATGGAAGAGAGTTCAGAAGAAATAATGACTGAAGCAGATGCTAATATTAAAGCTGAAAAATATATTGAAAATGCAGATGATGAGGCATCAGATGAACAGGCTGAGCAAGACAGGGAAGAAGCAGTAGAAAAGGCAGAAACTGAAGAGAGTGAAGAAGAGGAAGAAGACAAAGCAAAAGACATTAGAGATGAAGAGGAAACTGAAAAAATAGAAGCTGAAGAAGATTATGTGATGGCTGTGGTAGACAAAGATGCAGAAGCTGGTGAAGTTGAAGATAAATATGGCCTACTCATACTTACACCAACAAAACACTCAGAGCCTCAGTCTCCAGCAGTTGAACTGGCTTCTATCCGTGATGAAACATTACCTGGTGGTTCAGAAAGTGAAGCCACTGTTTCTGATGAAGAAGATAGGGAAGACCCACCTGAGGAGTTCACTGCTACTTCAGGTTATACACAGTCTACCATTGAAATATCCAGTGAACCAACTCCAATGGATGAAATGTCTACACCCCGTGATGTCATGAGTGATGAAACTAACAATGAGGAAAGTGAGTCACCTTTTCAAGAATATATGTACATTACCAAGTATGAGACATCACCGTACTCTCAAGAATTTGCTAGACCTAAACTTTCTCCACTTCCAGATGCTTTTAATGGATTATCAGAGGGATCCAAAACAGAGGCCACAGAAGGTAAAGACTATAATGCCTCAGCTTCTACCATCTCACCACCTTCTTCATTAGAGGAAGACAAATTCTGTAAATCTGCATTCCAAGATTTATACTGGCAAAAAGGAAATGAAGTCCAAGGCACTGACAAATTAGAAATGAAAGAAGCCTATCCAGAAGATGATGGAAAACACAGTCCAGCCAAGACCCCAGCTAAGAGTTTGTCCCCTCCATCACCTGTTGCCAAAACACCACTGGGTGAACGCAGTGTGAACTTTTCACTCACTCCCAGTGAGATCAAGGTCTTGGCTGAGCCTGTATCCACTGCTACATTGTCTGATGTATATCAAGAAGTTGCCAAAGAGCACTGTGCAAGCCCTGATGATAAAACGTTAGAAGTAGCATCTCCCTCACAGTCTGCTGCTGGTAGTGCTGGCCACACGCCTTATTATCCATCTCCCACTGATGAAAAATCCAGTCAGCTTCCCTCTGAAACCAGTGAAAAGTTAACAGAAGTTCCTGTTATCTTTGAACTCAGTGAAGACAAAGATGAGTCTGCAAAACCCAGAATAAGCCCTATGGATGAGCCTGTGCCAGATTTAGAATCTCCTATTGAAAAGGTTCTCTTGCCTCTACGGAGTCCACCACTGATAGGTTCAGAGACCACTTATGATACATTTTTGAGTGCTGATGTAAAGTCTCCCACCAGAGATTATGGAAATCCTTCTGAGGGGAAACCTGAAAAAGAAAAATCACCTGTTCAGATGAGCCCAGCTTCTGAAGCCAGCTCTGTGGACCTTTTCCAAGAAAAACAAGATGAAAAAAGCATGGAGTTTACGGTAATTAAGGAAGGTTTAAGCCTAGAAAGGAAAATGGGGGATACAGAACCCAGCAACTCCCAGTCTTTACCGGTCTTGGATGAGCAGAAGTTAGCAGGTGATCTCTCACCTACTCAAATAGATATTGGTCAGTTTGGTTCCTTAAAAGAAGACACCAAAATGTCAATTTCTGAAGGCACTGTTTCTGACACATCTGCAACTCCAGTTGATGAGGTTGTAGCAGAAGACACCTATTCCCATATAGAAGGAGTAGCTTCTGTCTCTACAGCATCTGTTGCTACTAGTTCATTTCCAGAACCAACTACTGATGATGTGTCTCCTTCTTTGCATGCTGAGGTTGGATCACCCCACTCTACTGAAGTTGATGATTCCCTTTCAGTGTCAGTTGTACAAACACCAACAATGTTTCAGGAAACAGACATGTCCCCATCTAAGGAAGAATGCCCAAGGCCCATGTCAATTTCTCCACCAGATTTCTCACCTAAAACTACAAAATCAGGAACCCCAGTGCACAATCACAGATCTCCTGAGCAGTCAACTATGTCATTAGAATTTGGTCAGGAGTCTCCTGAGCAGTCTTTAACAATGGACTTTAGTAGGCAATCTCCAGACTATCCTACTGTAGGCACTAGTATACACCATATATCTGAAAATGGACCAACAGAAGTAGATTACAGCCCTTCAAATATACAGGACTCTATTTTTGCATGGAAGATTTCCCCTGTGGAGCAGTCATCTTACTCTCAGGAAAAGGACATTTCAGAAATTATTTCAGTTTCTCAAATTGAAGTTTCATCCTCGACTTCATCAGCTCATACACATTCCCAGTTAACTTCACCACTGCCAGATGAAACCTTTTCAGGTGCTGTTCCACCCAAACATATGACACTACATTCTTCTCTTATCTCAGAAAAGATGCAGAGTCTAGGAGAAAAGCTTTCACCAAAGTCTGACCTATCTCCATTAACTCCAAGGGAATCTTCTCCTCTGTACTCTCCTAGTTTTCCAGATTCATCTCCTGCAATCACAGAAGCTGTGTCAGCTTCGTTATCTTTGCAAGTGTCCTCTGTCAAAGCATTTGGTTACCAGGAACCCCTAACAAAGCACAGTCCAGAACCTTTAATCAGCCCAGAAAAAGAAGATTCAGAGAAAAGCAGCAGGTCACCAGAAGAACTCAATCATTCTTACAAGGCCACAGAGAAAACTGTTAGGTCACCAGAGGATATTAGCTACTCCTATGGGGCAGTTTCAAAATCTAGGTCACCTCAGGCCACAGATTATTCCTATGAGACAACAGGGAAAGCCACCAGCTCACCTGAAGCCACAGATTACTCATTTGAGACAACTGGGAAAACTACCAGATCATCCAAAGCTACTAGCTATTCCTATGAAGCAAGTGCACATTTTACTCCAGGAAAACCTTTAGCTGAATCCCGTCAAGATGTTGACTTATGCCTTGTGTCCTCCTGTGAATATAAACATCCTAAAACTGAACTTTCACCCTCATTTATCAACCCAAATACCCTTGAGTGGTTTGCAAGTGAAGAACAGTCTCGGTATCAAAAGAAACCATTAACTCAATCTGGGAGAGCTCAGCCACCTTCTGGGGGAAAGCAGCAAGGATGGAAGTGTGACGAAACCCCTCCCACATCCATGAGCGAGTCTGCCCCATCTCAGACTGATTCAGATGTTCCCCCTGAGACTGAGGAATGCCCTTCCATCACTGCAGATGCTAACATTGATTCAGAAGATGAGTCAGAAACCATTCCGGCAGATAAGACAATTACGTACAAACAAATTGACCCACCACCTGTACCGATGCAGGATCACAGCCCTTCCCCTAGGCACCCTGATGTCTCCATGGTTGATCCAGAGACTTTGCCCACTGATCAGAATTTGGGTAAACCTTTGAAGAAGGACCTCAAAGAAAAGACAAAGACAAAAAAGCAGGGTACTGAGACCAAGTTGTCTTCTCCTGTTAAAAAAAGTGATGGTAAATCAAAACAAATGGTTTCACCCAAACCAGTTGGAAAAGAATCTTTAGACAAAAATTCCAAAACAGTTTCTCTAAAAAAGAAGGAGTCTGTGGAGAAAGCAACCAAAAATATCTCTAATCCAGAAGTAAAGTCTCAATTGGAAGAGAAAGACAAGGACACCAAGAATGCAGCAAATACAACAACATACAAGTCAGCAAAGACTGCAACCACAGGTATAGATAGGAGTTCCCTAATGTTAAGATTTTCTTTGTTGTTGCAGTCATGTTAGGTCGCCTTTATATCAGCTGACAATGTGGTTTGTAGCAAACCCCCAAAGAAAGTTCATGTTTTAAATATAAATCTGATGTATTATGGCTATATTTAAATGAATGAAATTTACTGAATTAACTTTTGAAATCTGATAAACTTGATGTGTTAGTTTTTTCAGATGTAAAGAATTAGAGAGGGTACATCAAATATAAAGAACTTAATACTAAATGTCTGAAATGTTAACCAACGAATAGAATTAAAAGTACTACTTCTGTAGGTGAAGTGAAATCAGTAATCACTTTATTCATTGTAAGAATCATGTAGGCATAATGTTCTTAAAACAAAATAATGCAATTCAATATTGTGAGAGGCATAGGTACAATCAGACATTTTTACAAGGAGCAAGTCTAGGATTCAGTACAAGCAAACCAGCATTCAGCTATCTGTAGCTTCATCATTTTAAGTGGTCCACTGTTCTTTCTTACACCATTATTTGCATGTCTCTCTAAGTAGATGTTTCTCAAAGCAGCAGTGCAGTTCCTCATGCTGTACATTTCTCCGGCACTTCAGTTTTATGTTAGGTTCTTCTTCCTTGAAGCATACTTCACAGGTATATTCTAGTGCTGAAGACAAAACTATATTTGATAATGACATTTAAGTGTAAAATGTAGTGTCTAATATTTTATCCAATGTTGGTATCTGTAGCATTAGGTATCCACAATTCAGAAAGATGTATCACAGATTTTTTATGATAAAAGATGATAAAAGATTTTGTAACATAACCAAATAGTTAAAAACTCTCTAATTCAGGAAATCTTATCATATTATGATGTTTATTTGACATATTGTCCTATGATGAATGGCAGGTCACACTAGACAATTGTATTGGACTTTCCTGTATTTACAATATGTGATCCTAAATAGAGTGTATTGTTCAGATAATTTAGTTTACCAAGCTTCATCCTCTGTAACATCATGAGGAGGTCAATAAAACATAAATAGTGATCATCTAGATAAAATTACTAATTGAATCCTGATTGTCAGTTCACACCATGATCCAGTGTGCAGCAAAAGCAGCTATTTATGTGAGTGTTTAAACTTTGAACTTCCTTTTGACCTCTTCTTAGAACAAATACTACACTATGTATAGCAGTAAAAACGTTTCCCTCTACTTTTTGTGATAAGTGGCTAGTTTGTGTATGCAAATAAGGATCCAGCAGGCAAACAAACATTTGTTCTCAGTTTCCTGCAGTAATTGCTTTAGGAAGATTCTCTTTTCTCCCAAGTTCCCCTTTGCCCCTCTTTCTGCTCACATGTAGTATCTTCCTGATGCATGTGTAAGACAGTGAGCATATCAACAGCTACTATGCCTTGGTATGTGCTGATACTCCAAATCTCAGGACCACTTCTGCATGGCTCCCTGTGTGACCCTAGCTTTTATAATCATGTTTACCTGAGACTTTCAAAAAGCTGTACTTCTTAACTTGGAAAATAATACTGCCGTTTATTGAATGGTAATTCAGTAATCACAGACCTGCATAGTAATTGTTGGATAATAGTAGTATATTACTGGGAAAGGTTCAATTGGCATACAACAAAGTTGGAATGTGTTATTAGATGTAGGAGGGTAATGCCATAAGTGTTTCAGGGGACACAGAAGTAAATTGTAGCTATGTAATGTTTAACTAATGCTAGCAATTTTAAGAAAATAATCTCAGCAGTTATAGTGGTAATTAGCAAATGCATGTTTTAACTAGCCTGTGATATTCTTTTGTTGTTTGATTTCCAAAGGACCTGGGAATAGTAAGTCTGCAAACTCTACAGCGGTCCCTCCAGGGCCTCCAATGTATTTGGATCTGGTGTACATTCCCAACCACAGCAATAGAAAAAATGTTGATGTTGAGTTTTTCAAGAGGGTGCGGTCATCCTACTATGTGGTGAGCGGGAATGATTCTGCATCTGAGGAGCCAAGCAGGGCTGTTCTGGACTCCCTGCTGGAGGGCAAGGCCCAGTGGGACAGTAACATGCAGGTAGGCTCTTTGCTAGTATTTCTACCTGGAAATTTAATCTTCTATGGGAAGCAACTACAGGAAGCCAGAGTGCCTCTGGAGTGAGCAGTGGCTGCTGGAGACAGGAGTTCCCAGTCTGGACACCTTGTTTCACCAGTGATATGAGAGGACACCCAAGTGAGGCACAGAGCTGCACCATACTCAGCTGCTTCCCCATTTCTGGCCCTTCTGACCTGTCTCTGGAAAATAAAACAATTGGGAAATGGTTTACAGGGCCATTTGTCTACTTGATCTTGTTGCTATACCCTATATAATCCAAGTTTGGAAACCTTGCATTTTGTAAGTAGGAATGTTTCATGGTTAATATGGTAAACATGTACACTTGGAAACATCATGTGCCTTTCCAACGTGAAGTAATAAGTAAACAAAATATTTGGCCATAATCTGAAGAGCTATTGGTGCAGACTACAGACTGATACTTCTCTGGAAAGGTGCACCTTAGCACCTTAGAGAAACAAGGTTTTGTTTTGATAAACTTCTTCTCAGTCATTTTATCTTATCTACATGTTTATTTTTTTTCTTTTTTCTGATCCACTCTTTCCAAAAGGGAATCATACTTGTTGGTTAGGACTTCTTACAAAGACATTTTTCTTATCAGTTGCTTCTGCTGTCCATTCCTCAGGAGTTCTCCTGTTTTGTGTTGCAGGTGACCTTAATCCCAACCCATGACTCAGAAGTGATGAGAGAATGGTACCAAGAGACCCATGAGAAACAGCAGGACCTCAACATCATGGTTTTGGCAAGCAGCAGCACTGTTGTTATGCAAGATGAATCTTTTCCCGCATGCAAGATTGAACTGTAAGAATCAGACCATGCACCACAAGATTTACCTTTTTTCCAGAAATTCTTCAGTTTGAAAACACCTTTTCTAAAAATTCAACCCATCTATTTCAACTGCTGAACTGTATACCTGAAAAATGCTATACTGTATCACAGTGATGCAAGTCACTAATATTTTTCAGTCTTTGGTGATTGCTGAGGGAAATAACAGCATTCCCATAGTAGGGTCAAAATTACAGTGAAAATACAGATCCAGTTTCATCTCCACTGAATGTTTGGAAACCATGTACTAGCAACTCCAAGTGACTTCTGCCAGGTAAAGGCATTTGTCCTCTAAAGAATTACAAAGAGAGAAAAAGAGAGAGAGAAGTAGGAGGAAAAAGTAATAAATAATTAAATCTCCAGTAGTCTCGTGGCAATAGCATTTTATGCACTCACAGGAAAAGGAGGTTTTAAATTTGTATCAATCTGAGCTATTGCAAAGGAGATCCTTACTTTACAGAATTAAGTTAGGTGCAAAATAAGAAGCAGAATGTGGCTAGGAAGGGACATATAATCTAAATGCTCATTAGCAGTTTTCCACTTTAATTTGAACCCTGCATACTGACATCCCATAACAACTGTAGGTCAAATATGCATGTAGTCTGAACCCCATTGAGAATTCTAAAACCTTTCTTTCAACATGCAAAATTGTTGGTCTAAGACATGCTTCCAGTAAAACTCCACTCACTGCAGTCACAACCGACCAGTACACATGCTTAAACACCCATGTCCACTGTCCATTAACTGAAACAAAATACCAAAGCAGTTGGGAGTACATACAGTAGACAATTTACCTTAGAAAGTGACTTGAATGTACAAAGAAACTTGATGCACTTATTTTTTAATGTTGAGACAGCAAATTTATAAAACATCTGTGTAGAATCATAGTTGCACCAGTAAAGAAGTGTGAGTGTGCATGAAGTGTGTACTAGAAACCTATCTGACTGATCAAACAGCTTGGTGCTATGAATTATAGATGTTACTTCTGTGAACAACTCATTGACGCACCAGGACAACTCAAGGCAAGATGAGCATTTTTTTTGAAAGGTTCTTTTGTATTGTGGAAGCAAGATTGAAGTGGTGTCCAGTATCAGAGCTGCAAAACTTGGTAAAATATTCAGGATGATGATAAAGGTTACCTGCAAGTCTGTATGGTATTCAATCTTCCTTTGTTTTATTTTATTTGTTTAATTTCAGAGCAAATATGGGAACAAATGTACAGAAAACTTTTTTTCAGTGCCATGTGAACTTTTAATGGATTTTTAACAAAAGTTTTCATTTACAGGAAAATGCAAAGAAAATTTTTTCAGGTGAAGGCAATTTTTTAGTAGTCTTGTAAGATAAATTAATGTTGTTTAAGGTTCTAGTGAGAATGGATTTTGAGGTAAGATTTGTTGAAAATAGTCAACTGCCAACACTTTTATGGGAGCAGCATGGAAGGGGCACCCTGTTGGTAAAATTGATAACAACAGAAAATGGGATTTGAAATGTTGATTGCCTAATATTTACAAGGGTTGTAATCTACATTCTCAATCCTCACAAGATCTTGAAAAAAGATATAATAAGCAATAAGCTAAAATAAGTCCCTGTCCTTTCCTCCTTCCTCTCTCTCTTCCTTTCCCCCCTTCCCTTCCTTCTCTAGACTGCTTGCAGTGGAACAGCATGTAGAACAGTTCTGTCATTTAAGACAGTTTGGACTTTTTAGTCTCAGAAGTTTTATCCCAATTAAAAAGTCTTGTTACATTGTAGAAGGTTTGCAAATCTGAACTTATAGAAGGTGTAAAGGCCTCCAAAATGAAGATATGTGCTGGTCTATACGATTCACCATTATGGCTGGTATTAAGCTTCACAATGTAGTGAACTATGACCTCATTTTTTTTTTACTTATAATTTATTTCAATTTTACATTGTTAGGATATTTTTGTTTAATAGGTATATGTTTGCACTCCTAATTTTTATGAGGGATTTTTAATACTGCTTTAGGGCCCCTTAAATGTGGGCTCCTGAGGACTATTTAATGCTGTGAATTACTGTTTGTCCACTGTTGAGATTTTTTATTTATTTTTAATGTCTTCTTCATTTTAGGTATCTCTAGCAATGCTGATTTATTTATTGCTATACTATTTAAGTTGTTAAGAACTTAACTCAGAATGACTATGACAGAAAAGGCAGATGGAAATGTATTGTGAAAACAAGCATGTTTGCTGGGCTCATAATCATTCACTTAAAATTGTTTTTGTAATACATAGTCTTCAAAGTTATAGGCAAAATGTTTAGCAGAATAGTTTTACAATTTCTACAATTCTGCTTTGTCTACTTTCTTATATAAGTCATATTTCAAACTTTTTGAGTGGGTGGGAACTAATTTTCTGATTTTCTGATAATATCTGAAATGGTTTGTACCTCTGCTTTGGTAGAAAGTATAAGTATAGCAGTGGTCCTCAGACTAATCTCACTTATGCCACTTACTCTTGTGAATCAGGAGCAATTTCACTACAATCAGGGAAGTTACAGTCATTTGGTCTAATGAAGTTAGAATCAAGCCTTAAATCTCTCCAAGTAAGTTTGTGATGGCTCAAGCATTTATTTTACTTTAAAAATAATAATAATTAGGCAGTTACAGCCAATCTTAAAACATTTATTCATATTTTGCTGCTACAAGAATGTTAAAAACCCAGTCTGACTTTTCTGAGGTATTGTAATGCCTATTCCATCCATTCCCTTTTAAATGTTAATCATGCTTGGGTATAACACAGCAATGAACTCCTCCATTAGCTCCTCTTGCCCTTATGTCTTTCCTGCCTGTGTAACTAATCTAACTGTGCTAATCACTACACAATTCGTTTAGTAACAGTCAGCAAAATGTGGCATATACATTAATGATGAGTGCTGTTGATCAGCATGGATTTCTAGGAGCATGGTTTGTTATTGATTAATTATACAGATTCAATAAGACACTCCATTAAAATGATGGTATTACCCATAACGGCATCTCCAGTCATGATCTTGATGCTATTACTCTACTGTTTCATAAAATTCAATGAAGAATTAACTTTAGAGATCACACCCCACTCCTTAACTTGGACAGGGCCTCTCTTTTGTGCCTTTTCAAAGTCCTGTGGTGGGCCTGACTTCATTGACCTCTACTTTTCATGCCTTCTTTCATAAAATTCACTTTTGATTTTTTTTATTATTATCTTGCATACTGTGGTGAATGGAGGTAACTGTGCGTATGAATGGGGTTTTTTAATTGTCTACAATAGCTTATGCATTTTAGGAGAGTTCTGGTACTCATTTACTAAGATTTAATCAATTTGTTAATTGAATTTTCAATCCATCCTACCACAAGCAAGTCAGCTCCAAAGAGCACTTACTGTGCATTTAGGACATTTCTGTCATAGGCTTCTCTTTGTTCATCTGTTGCAAGAGGTTCTTGCTATGATGTTTTGAGAGAAAGAGTAATTTTGTTTAAAATTAAAAAAAGAAAAAAGTCTGTTGTGACTTTACAAAAAAAAAAATCTAAAAAAGTAAGTAACTAAATGAAACAATGTCATAAAAAGCTTCTCTGAACTAGACTAGCTTAGGAGCTCCAGATAGCAGAGCTACCTCTTCCAGACCGGGCTGTAATCACAACTGTAAAAGAGGAAATCTGAAATATGCTTTCATGCATTTGCATGCAGCCATCATCTTCCAAACTATGGAAAAAAATAGTCTTGTTGCTGGCTGAGAAGCACCTCACACACCTCCTCTCTTGTTCTGAATGGTGTTTGTGTCAGTCTGCAGCTGTCTATGGTATTATGTCTTATAATCCTGTATCACTTCTATCCAGTAATATCTAATGTAGAAAATTAGTTTCCAGTGAAAGTAATATGCAGTACTTTTATGATATTTGTGCACAATGTCCCCTCTTCCATTGAGCATATTTGATGTAAAAGAAAAAAACTCAGTTCCACAATAAAATACAAAAGCAGTAAAGCAGTATTGACATTTCTTGTCATTCTATATGTAAGTACTTGTAAGTTTTCCCTTTCCTTCAATCATGACTACCTATTATATGGGCTTTTTCTGAAAAGTTCAATGACTATTTAAATGCTAGATAAGAACTAATCTTTATTTAGAAACTGAAAAATAAATGCCAAATATTACTTTTATCTCTTTTGATGAAAAACATTACCATGATGTACAATTTTGTGGCTTCTTTTTGTTGTTCTCATTTCTGTATCCCTCAGCAGCATGAGAAAACACCTAATTTTCAGTAAGTACACATTCAAGGAGCTGTATTAGACATGATACCAAATAAAGCTACATCGCTGAGGTGAGCAGCTCCCATGCCAGCATGATCCACAGCGGGGCGCTCTAGCACAGTGCACAGGGGGATTTCCTGAATTGGGGAACCTCAGGGGAGCCAAGAGAGCCACCAGGAGGCTGAAGTTCAGAGACAGCAGCTGATGGGACCTCGGCGCAGCCAGGAGCAACTGCAGCCAACTCACAACCCCACTCCCCTGCCCCGCCCCTCGTATAAAAGAAGCCCCTAGGGAGCATGGCTCATCAGCTAGAATACTGTAGTTCTGCCGGATCGGACAGGGAGCAATGGTGTCCACCTGGCAGAAGGCTATGTCCTCTCTAAACATCAGCACATCCCTGGAAGTGTTCAAGGTCAGTCTGGATGGGGCTTTGAGCAACCTGGTCTAGTGGAAGGTGTCCCAGTCCATGTCAGGGGGGTTAGGACTACATGATCTTTAAGGTCTCTTCCAACCCAAACACTTCTATGACTCTATGTGAAGAGAAAGCTTCCTACTCTGGTACAGCCCTCATATTATTTTCCATTATTCATTTTTCATGTAGGCAGTGATGAAGTTGCAACAAGGGCAATCAAGAGAGACCTCAGGGCCTTGGGACTACTGGTTAAGGGATTAGGAGCACAAGTAGTGTTCTCTATCCTTCCAGTCGCAAGGAATGATGAGGGAAGAAACAGTAAGG